TCACGTTTCTGAGCTCCGAGGGGAGAGGCAAGGAGGACGCTGCGGTTGTCACTCTGGGGTGGGGGATGGAAAGATGTATAACTGTTACGGTTCTTATTTAGGAGCTCAGGACTCCCCCTGGTCCCAACCTTGATTATTTGAAGACACCCCACCCCCAACCCTTAAAGATAATTTCGGAAAACAGTGCCCTGCACAGTTAAACACTTTGCAGTTTCAAGGAAGTTCTCTTAAGCACCAGGTGTCATTAATAGTGACTTTGGACTTGCACCTTTAACCTCAGGGCCCCTTCCCCTCTTTTCTGTCTGCAGAAGTGATGTAACACAGACCAGGCTCCTCCTCTGTTCATGAATCTGCAATAAGGCATTTGAAAATCTACCTTGAATAAACCGTTCAGGGTAAGGACCCCTAAGAATGGAGAGCTTTGCCTGCTTCCTCCAGAAGGCAGACTGTTCCCATCCAGGCTGTGTTTGTTATAGGGCTGGGGGACTCTGGAGGACTTTTTCCACCATCAAATGAGACTCCCCTGAGTGAGATACTCCCTTGAGGGAGAGGACAGAAGAACCAGAGCCTATGACTAAGATTCCAGGTTCTTTTGTCAGTAGACTTTAGAAGCCCTGTTTTTCCTCAGTTTCTCCATTTGCATTTGTAGTGCAATTCGGATTTATCTGCAAAAGAGAAGCCATGGCTGCCTCTCGTTCCCACAGGCTGGGCTGGTGCTTAGGATGGTTTGTGAGTGACATCCTTTTCTAGGCTAGAGCCCCAAGCTTTGTGCCGTAGGAGGCCCTTGTGGCCAGTATCTGGGAGTCAGCTGGAGCAGGAAGAAGGAAGTGACACCTTCAGCTGCTGTTAGAAGAGGCTGGATATTTCTGTACAGAAATCAGTGCTTAACACTGCCCACCATCACCATCATCTCATCTCTTCTTCAACATATGCAGGTGGCTTTTTGGGGATTCTCACACTACTTTTCATCTCCTCCACTCCCTCTTGGCCATAGCTTTAAAAGAAGGGTTGGTTAATTCATCTGGAGGTCAACTGTGAAAGGTCAGGCATGTGCACCAAGCATCCTACTTTCTCATAATAACCTGCTAGGGCTTATGATGTGTGGATTTAAACCCATATTGAACCCATGTGTATTTTCAGTCTGTACTTTTTTCCTTGATTGAATGTCACAAAGTTTACCTCCCATGGGGTAGAATTTTATTTGTTATAAAACTACCTCTTTTAAGTTCCTGGGGTAGCCCTTAGCAATTTAGGATCTAAAGCTTAAAGTGGTTTTGCAAGTGGTAGAAACTTTCTACCTAATAATTTCTACCCTCAACTTACAGATGTTCTGAGTGAATAAGTATTTTCTTTTAAATAATTCCTTTCTCCCCCTACCCAACATGTCCCTTGTTGAATGTGGAGGGTGGTAGTTACCAACACCCAGTGGGAAAGCCCAGATCTGAAGCAACCTAGCTAACAGCTGAAAAAGCACAGTTCCTGTTTCAACGTCTTTAAAAAAGTTCTCTTGTGGCTTGTGAACATCTCTCATTTTGGGTCTCCCTGTATTTGATGGAACATCTATTCGGTTCTTAAATGTGGTGCCAAGTGTAATATTTTAAAAGTTTGGCAGAATTTAACCTCACTGGAAATCTTGTTCACTTTGCGGGGAGAAAGGGGGAAGAGTATATTAGAAAGCAGCATGAAGCCCATGACATTTTTGAGAATAACATTTTCATTCTGAGATGGTATTTTCTGCAGTAGCCACTGGAATGACCACAGGGAAGGGGACACTCTACCCTCACCAAGAGCTTCCTGTTACTCTGGATGTCCACCAGCAGGATAAAATAATCAGGGTGGGGAAAGTTATGGATGTTTACACAATTCCTAGCTTGCTCCTAGAGTTTTCAACAGTTATGATCTTATGGCCTTTCCTTGCCCTAGACCAGAGATGATCAATCAGAGGTGCTCTGTGCCCCAAGAGGCTCTTGGCAATGTCTGGAGACGTTTTTGGTTGTCATACCTGAGTTGGTGGTCTGCTACTGGCATCTAATGGGTAGAGGCCAGGGAGGCCCCTGAATATCCTTCAATGAGCAGGTCTCCACCAAACCTCCCACCCCACCCCTCCCCCAACTAGGAATTATTCACCCAAAATACCGCTAATGCTGACGTTGATAAACTCTGATCTAGACTTTGAGGACTTGGAAAGACAATGTGTGGGGGTGGGGGTAGGGGGCGGGCAGTCATTAGCAGTCTTTTAATGTGGTCCTGCAGTCTTTAGCCTCTGCTTTCAGTTCCCTCTCTTTGGAGGAGAACATGAGAGGAACGATCATCATAGCTTCCATTTATTGAGCGCCACGTACTAACTTCTGGTATTATTTCCTTTAATCATCACAATAAGCCCTACTGACTATACACTTCTTAAGAGCAAGGCCCATGTCTGTTTCATCTGTTATTGTACACGTTAGGCCTAGTACAGTGCCTGGTACATGGCAGGCCCTCAGTGTTTGGATAAATGGAGTCATTACATCCGATATAGATGTGAGGCACATGAGGTCTGAAAAGTCCACAGAGTTAGTGTAAGTAGAAGGGTCAGGATTTTAACTGAGCCCTGTGTGACTCCAGCACCAAATCACTTAGCGACCGAACTGTATCTCTCAGTTGCAGCACCAGGGAGGTTTGCTAGTCTCTAAAATCACGAATGAGGGGCTGAGGGAGGGGAAAGGAAGTTTTAAAAATAAGATTAAAAAACAAAACACCACCTCTTTGTGAACTATGAAATGAAGAAGGGCCTTATGGGAGCTCTCTCTGGCTCTGACGGGATCACCTCTTGTTCCTCAGCTGGGATTTTTGGCTTTTCGAGTATCTATTCTGCAGATAGGGAAACCAAGGCGCGGAAGTTCAGGAGAAAGTAGTAGATGGAGAACTGGAGCGGGGCACTGTGGAACTACATGCTCCAGCTCCTGGGCACCTTCCAGGAGTCATTGAGAGAAGGGCTCCCCGGGTGTAGACCACAGTCGTTCAAATCCTGCCCTCCAAGAAGCAAAGCCCAGAAAAACTCTAGTCTTTCCACCGGGGAGGCAGAAATCAAACGGACTACGTTTCCCGGCGGCCATTGCGGAATTCGGCAAGGCGCAGGCGCACTAAAGCGTCGTGCGTACTACGAGTCCCGGCGTGCAGTGGGCAGGGCGGGACTACATTTCCCAGGAGGCAGAGGAAGGGGCGGGAGGGGGCGGGTCGCGGTACTGCTCCCGCCCCTCCCCCGTGCTCGCGCGGAGAGGTAAACAAACCCCGCGCGGGTTGCCAGCGGAGCCGCGGGGGCGGCAGGGCGGCGGGGTGGCCCGGGCGGCGGGGGCGGCGGAGAGCGCGCCGAGCCGCGGCGGGGCTGGCCCGCCAGCCCGCCGCACATGTCCCGGGGCGGCGCCGGATTGTAGCCGCTTGCGGTGCCTCCTGTTGGCTGGGGAAGGGAGTGCGGAGAGGCCCGGGTTGCCGCCCGCGGTGCCCATGGAGCAGGTGCGGATGATCAACGTGCAGCGCCTGCTGGAGGCTGCCGAGTTTTTGGAGCGCCGGGACCGAGGTAACGGCTGGACGCCGCCGCCTCTTCCAGTGCCTGAACCCGCGCACTCCTCTTCCGCCCGGGGGGTGCGGTGCGGCTGGTGTGAGGCGTGTGTGTGTAAGGAGAGGTGTCTGTGAGGAGGGGGTGCTTGTGTGAGACGGGAGTGCGTTGCTGGGGGGGGGGTGCGTGTGTGAGGAGGGAGTGTGTGTGAGGGGGGCGCGTGTTTGAGAAAGGGACGCGTGTGAAGAAGGGTGTGCGTGTGTGAGAAAGGGGTGCGTGTGGAAGAGGTGTGTGTGTGAGGAGGGGTGCGTGTGTGAGGGAAGTGCGTGTGAGGAGGAGTTACACGTGAGGTAAGTGCGTGTGTAAGGAGGGGTGCCTGTGTCAGGAGGGTGGGGTAAGGGAGGTGCGTGTGTGAGGAGAATTGTGCCTATGTGAGGGGGAGCATGTGAGGGAGTGAGCATGTGAATGAAGGGGTACATGAGGCAATACGTGTGCATGTGTGTGAGGGGCACCTGTGGGTGTGTGCATTTTCAGGAAGGGCAGCAGGGGAGGACACTGTCTCCTGGAGAGACTGAGGGAGGCGTCAGGCTGGAACCCGGGGCTGCCCTGAGTGGACGGGAGGAGAGGGAAGGGGAGAGGTGGTGAGAGTGGAGGTGATTTGAGGACCTGGGAGGAAAGAGGACGCCAAGAACCGGAGGAGGGTGTAGTGCTTGTCCGGGTGGAGGAGCCAGGACCCGGAGCCCAGACGGGGAATGCCTGCTTAAGAGCAGGGAGGTGGACAGATACTTGTGAAGAAGTGACCTCTGCACATCCAAATACGGTGCACTGGGATTCCCTTAGGAATAGAGACTAAGGGAAACCCCTGCAAATTGTGGTGTCGTGAGAAAATGTCTTCCTAGAACAAGGTGATTGAATTGTTTGAAGTACACACAAATGTGGGGTTTAGAGAGACACCTTGAAGGGGGATAGTTATACGAAAAGGGATTTTGAAACAAATGAAATAATTTAGGTGAATGGTAACTGGTCTCAGAAATGAGGGTCCTAACACCTCCTCTAAACCAAGGAACTTGGCTACGCCTAGTAGCCGAGTGTGAGCATGGCTACGCCTCAACGTTCCCCTCCATGCCGAGCCCCTGGTTGCAGCATTCAAAATGAGGGTGTTTGCGTCAAGATTTCTTGGAGAAAAGGATTTTGAAGAGGAGGGAGAAGTTCCTTGGTTTAGAGGAGGTGTTAGTACACCTTCCAAGCGTGAGTTGGGTCTGTATATAATGTCACAGGATTGATGACCAGGCAAGGACTGGGAATCTTATTTTCCAGTCAGAAAGAATGGAAAAAATTTACCTCTTTTTCTTCTCTGTTTTCAACAACCTGTTACTGAAAGGACTGGAGATCTGTAGATCCAGGAGTTTGGGTATATCCTCTTACCCTCTTACCTCTTCCTCTTTTTTTCTTGCCATTTGTTTAGAGTGTGAACATGGCTACGCTTCAACGTTCCCCTCCATGCCGAGCCCCCGGTTGCAGCATTCAAAGCCCCCACGGAGGTTGAGCCGGGCACAGAAACACAGCAGTGGGAGCAGCAGCACCAGCACCGCCAACAGGTATTGAGCTGCAGAGGTTTAGAAAGGGCAGCTGACGGGAGGCAGCACACACTCAGGCAGAAGTGCTGACCCAGCTGACCTCTAATATCAAGTCTACAGCAACACTGTCAGCCAAGCAGGGGCCTTTATCACCACCCCTGAGAATCTGGCCCTTTTTAAAATAATTAAGTCTAGGAATCCTAACCTGACTTTGTGTAAAAGGGAAAAAATAGAATCTGGCAAAACAACCAAAGAAGTTCTTGCTGGGGATTATCAAGTGGAGATGTCTGTGACTGAGAGGGATAGTGAGTTTAGAGATTCGGCAGCATGTGTCCATGCATGCAGCCATATGCTAAAAGTAATCTTGGGCCAACTTTAAACTTGAGAGATGCAAGGATTTTTAAAAATCAGAAATAAGGAGGATATAAAGCAGAATGAAGGGTTTTGTTAAAGGAATAAAAATATTTAGATGCAGTAGGAAGTTGGTCACGGTCTATTTTTTTTATGGATGAGAAGAGTTAATTGGTAAGGGAGCTCTTAAAAAAAAAGGAAAGAAGATGTTTATCCTTCAGTCAAAACAGATACTAGAAAATGCTTACTTGGATATATACTCAGACATAGTTGACTTCTATTTTTTTGAAAATTTTTGGTAGTGTCTGGCTGTCTTTTCAGTGTTTTTTTCTAGAGGGCCTATGTATTCTAAAGATTCATCTCATATGAAATTTTCAAAAGCCTGTCTTAAAACCAGCTGTTGCTTGCCTTTTCCATGATGAAAGGATTTAAATGAGATGTTTTTTCTAAAGTTTTTTTCTAGAGAATGTAAGCATTCGTTTTGGAGGGGCACAGAGCATTCTCTGAGTAACTAAGTTTGCTGGATGACTTTGGAGAACTCCAGACAGGAAGTTGGATAGCACTTGAAGATGTGGGTTGGGAGGGAGCAGGAGTAGGGGCTCTTACTCATTGATGCAGAAAACCTGAGGTTCCTGTAGATAACAGTGCTCAAAACGTTGGACCTTTTCTCTCTGCCTTTCTAACATTACTGTGGCAATTCACTAATATCTTTAAATCTGTGTCTCCTTTTTTGGCTTCTTTTCTTCACTAAGACTATTCTATACATTTAAGTAATTTTTAAAATTATAAAAGTATTTAGCCATAAGTGTATTATGCTGTATTTATGTTTATTTGTGGGCCTACAGTATTTGTTGTGGTATGGCAGATTTGGGATGAAAATATGTAGGCATGTTAAACAAAATAGGCAGCATTAAACAAGAATTACTTATAAATTTTCCTACCCTTCAGTTTCTCTGGTTAAGCTATCAGCAATTAAAACCTATATTCAGGAATTTATGAGTTTTCCAATCCATGCATAGACTAAAAATTTTTTTTTTTAACTTTGAGGCATGGGAAGAATACTAGATAGGAAATCAAGCCTGGGTTCTGCCGTGGTATAAGTATATATTGATTGTTTCCTACTTTCTAGAAATCAAGTATATGATCTCATTACATTTTTTCTCTATCCTTAACTGTTGTCATAGTTTGAGGGGATTAATTAACTACATGCTCACCAAGGTCTCTCCTTCCCCTGAAGTTCTGTGACACTAATTTATTGACAGTTTTAGAGATCAGTTACTATATTGGTTATTCAGTACACCATCCCATCATTGCAGATGTGACATTTTTACTGCCAACTCAAGAATTACAAAGGCATAAATTAGATGTGTGTTTCTAGATTTTACCAGTTATGTTATAGGTCATTAATGTGTTTGTCATCTGTTGACTTGTACTTTGCTTAGCTTGGAATTTCTCTTTCACGCTAGTGTTCTTTTTAGGAGTCTACTATTGTGTGTCGGACCACATTGCTAATTACTCTGTATTTTAGCACAGCATGTCAGAAAATTTATAAGACTATAAGTATGCCACTTTATTCTTAGTAGTAGTACTCAAGAGAAAATAATCACATGTACATTGGACCACCTAAGACTAAATAGAGTAATTTTTCATGGAAATATAAATAGTAAGAAAGACAAAAAGAGAGAAAGAAAAAAAGATTTTAGGATATATTATCTGAAGGTCTACGCATATGCGGGATTTAGGGTGGAGCCTTTAGATGAGAACTAGTATGTTAAAGGGGAACACTAGGAATTATTTCTCTTTACCTTTTAAGATTTCTGCTTCACAGAGTAGGGAGCAAAGGGTCAAATTCTAGTACTGAGATACTGGGAAGATAGTGGTGTTATTTCATTTGTAAGGGAACACTATAGACTCCATGTTATTACTACATTTAATAAAGATTTTATTATACTGGTTACATAAAACAGAAATAAAACTGGTAAAATTTTTTGTTATGTTAGTCATCTGAAACAAGGAAAGGAATAGAGTTGATGAGTGTATGTGTCTTATTTTCCTATCAAAAATGTACCTATATGGACATTGCTGTTCCTATTAAGCATCTTGAACATATGTCATAAAGTAATATTTGTTTCCCTGACATTGTAGCATACTTAAGATACAATGTTGATTGACTCCCTCCCTAATATTCTCAGGTATAATATGATATTCCTGATATAAACTTGTGCTGAGAGTTGACTCATAATATATGAATTCCTATTCTTTCTTTCTCCCAAGTCTTGAAACCTTGCTTTCATAGAAGTACAAAGGAGAGAAAATGAGTGATACAATGTGTTATTAAAAGAGGGTACCATGAAAATTTAATTTTATCATTTGGGATCTTTTTGACAATTAGAGGGTGGAATATATAGTACATAATTATTTTTTAAATTCATGTTTGACTTTACTGTAGTCTTGGTTCATGGCCTTCTGGCACACTTCCTAAAATCACCCTTGCTAAGGTGTTACTGCTATTAGAGAACTGGCAGCAGTCGCTCTCTGGCTTATTGAGTAGTATCAGATAAATTCACAGCTTCTTTACTATTTGGTTTCACAACTGAAAAATACCAAGATCTCTCATCTTTAAAACTCTACTAACACCGCTCTACATGGCTTTGGTGTAACACCAATTTTCTCCTAAATCTCTCTTGAACCTGCCTTTTCTCTTGGCTTCGTTACTACCCTCCTAATCCAAGATACAATTACTTCTACCTGAACAGCTCTTGTGACCTCCTAACTGGTATCCCTGCAACCACCCTCGTCCCAAATGCAATTCTGATGAGTTATATTGGCTAGCCTTCCTTCAGTTCCTTTAATACACCACATTTCCTCCTACCTCAGGGTCTTTGCACATACTCTGTTCTCTTCTGAGAATCATTTTTCTTCCCCTTTTGCCAAGTTACCGCTAATTACACGCTTGCTTCAGCTTATAATAACTTCTTCAAGAAAGCATTTTCTCACCTGCCAAAGTGAATCAGGTAGTCACATACCTCATGGCATCCATACTTTTCCTTCAGTGTTTATCACAGTTTGTAGGAAATACAGTTATATGATTGATAAATTCATGTCTCATTTATTGGACTAAAAACCCCATGGAAGCAAGGATTGAATCTCTTCTGCTTAAAGATTTATCCCCAGTAACTATCACAGTGCTCTTTAAACAGTAAGTTTTTGAAGAATGGAAGGTTTTTCAAACTCCAAGTAGACTATCTGAAATTGGAACTGAGTTTTTCTTTTGTGCCAAGTATTATATTAGACTCTGAATAGAAATAATGTAAGAATGTGCAACTTCTGCTTTGGCAAACTCTGATTGCTTTGTACTTGGAAGGATATTACTGACAATACATTTGGAAGGGAAAACAGTGTACAGTATTTGAAGAATAAAAATCTTCAATCTGCCAGTTTTTTAAAACATATATATTAGACTGTATGTATAAAATACTAAAATTAATATACTACTTGTATAAAGTACATGTATAAAATACTCCAATTAATATTAAAGAATACTGTTATCATCCTGTGTCATGAGAGTAAAATGATACCAAAACTTGTCTATGCAAAGAACCAGAAATCTGTCAAATATTGGCAGTAAATACTGGTATGAGATTGTGACACACATACAGAGTTTTCTTTATTTTAAGGTGGTCTATAAAGTAGAAAATACAGGCATACCTTGTTTTATTGTACTTCCCTCTATTGTTCATCACAAATACTGTGGGTTTTTTTTTTTTTAACAAGTTGAAGGTTTGTGGCAACCCTGCATTGTCAGGTGATGGTAAGCATTTTTAAATAATAAAATATTCTTGAGTTAAGGTATGCACATTGTATTTTTAGATATAATACTGTTGCACATTTAATAGACTATAATGTAGTGTAAACCTAAGTTTTATGTGCACTGAGAAACCAAAAAAATTGTGAGTCGCTTTATTGCAGTGGTCTGGAACCAAACCCACAGTATCTCCGAGGTATACCTTTACCAGTTTATTGTTGAAGTTCAAGTTATTTCTTTAGTATTTTTTGGATACTAAAGAATCTTATAACAGCAGCAGTATTTCAGTACTATCTGCTAAGATTGAGGGCATAAAAAACAAAACAACTTTCCTTTTGCTTTTAAGATTTTAACTTTTTTAAACTACAAAATAATGAAATGTTTTAGCCTTATTTTAGAGGGAATGATGTATTGTTACATTTTCAGCTTTATATCCTTTTTGTCTATCATCTTCATGGATTTTTAGGGTTTTTGTTTTTGTTTGCAGGAGTAGGGTGAATTCTTTTTCTAGGATAGTTGTAGAGGATTTTTTTTCTAGTAGAAGTAGTTTGACATATATCTTCTATTTTTATTCTTAAACATGTACCTATTTGTTCACAGGATAATTGAATGAAGCCTAATTTTTTATTTTTGAGAAATTTATTACTAGTCTTTATTTTTCAGTTTTTCTGTCTTAAAGAACTAGGTGCTGGATCTTTGTCCAATAGAGAACTCTCAAAGTTTCAAGGCCAAAAGTAGAAATTAGTAGTAGTTAAACTCTTAATGATATTAGTATTGTTCTTCAGGTACTTTCCATATGTTGAATGATGTGATCTGATGTGTTCTGTGATATTTTGTCTTCCACTAAAACCAAGTTTAAATGAAA